TTCTCTGTGCTACTATTGTTTCTCGGTGCTACTATTGTTTCTCTGAGCTGCCATTGTTTCTCTGTGCTACTATTGTTTCTCTGTGCTACTATTGTTTCTGTGCTGCCATTGTTTCTCTGTGCTACTATTGTTTCTCTATGCTACCATTGTTTCTAGGTGCTGCCATTGTTTCTCAGTGCAACTATTGTTTCTCCGTGCTACTATTGTTTCTCGGAGCTGCCATTGTTTCTCTGTGCTACTTTTGTTTCTCGGTGCTACTATTGTTTCTCTGTGCTACTATTGTTTCTCGGTGCTGCCATTGTTTTTTGGTGCTACTATTGTTTCTCTGTGCTACTATTGTTTCTCGGAGCTGCCATTGTTTCTCGGTGCTGCCATTGTTTCTCTGTGCTACTATTGTTTCTCGGTGCTACTATTGTTTCTCTGTGCTACTATTGTTTCTCTGTGCTACTATTGTTTCTCTGTGCTACTTTTGTTTCTCGGTGCTACTATTGTTTCTCGGAGCTGCCATTGTTTCTCGGTGCTGCCATTGTTTCTCTATGCTACCATTGTTTCTCTATGCTACTATTGTTTCTCTGTGCTACTATTGTTTCTCTGTGCTATTATTGTCAATTCTCCTGCACTTGGTGATATCACCTATTTGTGCTGCTGCTGGTGACATATATATCACTCTTATCCTGTGCCACTAGTGACATTAACTCTCATCATGGGCCCTTTTATCCTGTGCTACTGGTGTCATCACATATCCACTGTTACTGGTGGCTTTTATACCTTTGATAATGTTTGTAGATGAAAGTACCACAACAAGGTAATGTGTTGTAAGTGACATGTGTTGCTTTGTCATATTCAAGTTTTCTTTCGTAAAATTATGAAAATGATGACATAAATAAATAATACACATTAAATCAGTACATATAACTTTGCATTTATCATCAGCCTACAAAGACACTTATGGCGAAGATCCTGTTTGGAAGTATTACAGACGGAATTTTGTAGGTCACATGCCTCCTGCAACAAGGACTACATGTGTGGTAGGTAATCAACATTAAGATGACTTGTAGAAAAAATTAATTGCACAAGTCTATTATTAACAACTGTAATGCTTCATAGTCATAAATGGAAAGTCTTCTCAGTCATTGGAGGAGATACCTTTCTGTCATAATGTGGATACACCTCTCAGTCATTAGTGCATATACCTCTCAGTCATTAGTGGATACACCTCTCAGTCATTAGTGGATACACCTCTCAGTCATTAGTGTACACCTCAGTCATTAGTGGATACACCTCTCAGTCATTAGTGGATACACCTCTCAGTCATTAGTGTACACCTCTCAGTCATTAGTGGATACACCTCTCAGTCATTAGTGGACACACCTCTCAGTCATTAGTGTACACCTCTCAGTCATTAGTGTACACCTCTCAGTCATTAGTGGATACACCTCTCAGTCATTAGTGGACACACATCTCAGTCATAAGTGGATACACNCACCTCTCAGTCATTAGTGGATACACATCTGTCATTAGTGGATACACCTCTCAGTCATTTGTGTACACCTCTCAGTCATTAGTGGATATACCTCTCAGTCATTGGTGGATACACCTCAGTCATTCATTAGTGGATATACCTCTCAGTCATTAGTGGATACACATCTCAGTCATTAGTGGATACCCCTCTCAGTCAGTAGTGTATTCACCTCTCAGTCATAAGTGTATTCACCTCTCAGTCATTAGTGTACACCTCAGTCATTAGTGGATACACCTCTCAGTCATTAGTGGATACACCTCTCAGTCATTAGTGAATACACATCTCAGTCATTAGTGTATTCACCTCTCAGTCATTAGTGGATACACATCTCAGTCATTAGTGGATACACCTCTCAGTCATTAGTGTATTCACCTCTCAGTCATTAGTGGATATACCTCTCAGTCATTCATTAGTGAATACACCTCTCAGTCATTAGTGGATACACCTCTCAGTCATTAGTGAATACACATCTCAGTCATTAGTGTATTCACATCTCAGTCATTAGTGGATGTACCTCTCAGTCATTCATTAGTGAATACCCCTCTCAGTCATTAGTGGATATACATCTCAGTCATTACTGGATATACCTCTCAGTCATTAGTGGATACACCTCTCAGTCATTAGTGTATTCACCTCTCAGTCATAAGTGTATTCACCTCTCAGTCATTAGTGGATATACATCTCAGTCATTAGTGGATATACCTCTCAGTCATTGGTGGATACACCTCTCAGTCATTAGTGGATGCACCTCCCAGCCATAAGTGGATACACCTCTCAGTCATTAGTGGATACACCTCTCAGTCATTAGTGGATATACCTCTCAGTCATTAGTGGATACACCTCTCAGTCATTAGTCGATACACCTCTCAGTCATTAGTGGATATACCTCTCAGTCATTAGTGGATACACATCTCGGTCATTAGTGTATTCACCTCTCAGTCATTAGTGGATACACCTCTCAGTCATTAGTGGATACACCTCCCAGCCATAAGTGGATACACCTCTCAGTCATTAGTGGATACACATCTCGGTCATTAGTGTATTCACCTCTCAGTCATTAGTGGATACACATCTCAGTCATTAGTGGATATACCTCTCAGTCATTAGTCTATTCACCTCTCAGTCATTGGTGGATACACATCTCAGTCATAAGTGGATACGCCTCTCAGTCATTAGTGGACACACATCTCAGTTATAAGCGGATACACCTCTCAGTCCTTAGTGTATTCACCTCTCAGGCATTAGCGGATACACCTCTCAGTCCTTAGTGTATTCACCTCTCAGACATTAGTGGATACACATATCGGTCATTAGTGTATTCACCTCTCAGGCATTAGCGGATACACCTCTCAGTCCTTAGTGTATTCACCTCTCAGCCATTAGTGGACACACCTCTCAGTCATAAGTGGATACACCTCTCAGTCATTAGTGGATACACCTCTCAGTGATGATACACCTCTCAGTCATTAGTGGATATACATCTCAGTCATTATGGGATACACCTGTCAGTTGTTAGTAGATACATCTCTGGGTCATTAGTGGCTAAATATCTCTTTCATAGCTTAGTATACCATATTGTTGGATACGAGTAGATTGTAATTGAAATTTGAATTTCTTAGATTGTTTATGAAAATTAATTTACAACAGAAAATGACCCAAATTGCTAGCGTGAATTGGAGATATTTTTGTCAATTTTATTTGAAATGTATCTGTCAATCTTTCAAGACATTGATTATGGTTTTTGAGAACTTGGCAAAAGTAATATTTCTAACATAAAATACGGAATCTGTTCTTATTTTTTTCAGCGGAAAGGAATTATTGAAACAGGCAATGCTTGTCCAGTGTGTAGAGATCAGTACTTATTTTTCAACTATGAGGTATGTATAATATAATATATGAGATATTTATTATATAATATATGAGGTATGTATTATATATAAGATATGAGGTATGTATTATATAAGGTATGAGGTTTGTAGTATATAATATATGAGGTATGTATTATATATAAGATATGAGGTATGTATTATATAATATATGAGGTATGTAGTATATAAGATATGAGGTATGTATTATATAAGATATGAGGTATGCAGTATATAAGATATGAGGTATGTAGTATATAAGATATGAGGTATGTATTATATAAGGTATGAAGTATGAAGTATATAAGATATGAGGTATGTAGTATATAAGATATGAGGTATGTATTATATAAGGTATGAGGTATGTATTATATAAGGTATGAAGGATGTATTATATAAGATATGACGTATGTAGTATATAAGATAGGAGGTATGTAGTATATAAGATATGAGGTATGTAGTATATAAGATATGAGGTATGTATATATAAGATATGAAGTATGTAGTATATAAGATATGAGGTATGTAGTATATAAGATATGAGGTATGTAGTATAGAAGATATGAGGTATGTATTATATAAGATATGAGGTATGTATTGTATGTATTATATAAGGTATGATATATAAGATATGAGGTATGTAGTATAGAAGATATGAGGTATGTATTATATAAGATATGAGGTATGTATTATATAAGGTATGAGGTATGTATTACATAAGGTATGAAGGATGTAGTATATAAGATATGAGGTATGTATTATATAAGATATGAGGTATGTATTATATAAGATATGAGGTATGTATTGTATATAAGATATGAGGTATGTATTATATAAGGTATGAGGTTTGTGTTATATAAGATATGAGGTATGTATTATATAAGATATGAGGTATGTAGTATAGAAGATATGTATTATATAAGATATGAGGTATGTATTATATAAGGTATGAGGTATGTATTATATAAGGTATGAAGGATGTAGTATATAAGATATGAGGTATGTAGTATATAAGATATGCAGTATGTATTATATAAGATGTGAGGTATGTAGTATATAAGCTATGAGGTATGTAGTATATAAGGTATGAATGATGTATTATATAAGATATGAGGTATGTATTGTATATAAGATATGAGGCATGTATTATATAAGGTATGAGGTATTTATTATATAAGGTATGAAGGATGTAGTATATAAGATATGAGGTATGTAGTATATAAGATATGAGGTATGTATTGTATATAAGATATGAGGGATGTAGTATATAAGATATGAGGCATGTATTATATAAGATATGAGGTATGTAGTATATAAGATATGAGGTATGTAGTATATAAGGTATGAGGTATGTATTATAAAAAGTATGAGGTATGTAGTATATAAGATATGAGGTATGTAGTATATAAGATATGAGGTATGTATTATATAAGGTATGAAGGATGTAGTATATAAGATATGAGGTATGTATTGTATATAAGATATGAGGCATGTTTTATATAAGGTATGAAGGATGTAGTATATAAGATATGAGGTATGTAGTATATAAGATATGTGGTATGTAGTATATAAGGTATGAAGGATGTAGTATATAAGATATGAGGTATGTATTGTATAAGGTATGAAGGATGTAGTATATAAGGTATGAAGTATGTAGTATATAAGGTAGGAGGTATGTATAATATAAGATATGAGGTATGTATTATATAAGATATGAGGTATGTAGTATATAAGGTATGAAGGATGTAGTATATAAGGTAGGAGGTATGTATAATATAAGATATGAGGTATGTAGTATATAAGATATGAGGTATGTAGTGTATAAGATATGAGGTATGTATTATATAAGGTATGAAGGATGTAGTATATAAGGTATGAGGTATGTATTATATAAGATATGAGGTATGTAGTATATAAGATATAAGGTATGTAGTATATAAGATATGAGGTATGTATTGTATATAAGATATGAGGTATGTATTATATAAGGTATGAGGTATGTAGTATATAAGATATGAGGTATGTATTGTATATAAGATATGAGGTATGTAGTATATAAGATATGAGGTATGTAGTATATAAGATATGAGGTATGTAGTGTATAAGATATGAGGTATGTATTATATAAGGTATGAAGGATGTAGTATATAAGATATGAGGTATGTAGTATATAAGATATGAGGTATGTAGTATATAAGATATGAGGTATGTATTATATAAGGTATGAAGGATGTAGTATATAAGATATGAGGTATGTATTATATAAGATATGAGGTATGTAGTATATAAGATATGAGGTATGTAGTATGTAAGATATGAGGTATGTAGTATATAAGATATGAGGTATGTATTATATAAGGTATGAAGGATGTAGTATATAAGATATGAGGTATGTATTATATAAGATATGAGGTATGTAGTATATAAGATATGAGGTATGTATTGTTTATAAGATATGAGGCATGTATTATATATGATTTTCTGATGAAAGACCAGTCTTTTTTTATCACCATGTTGTATCTGTATTGGTACAGAATAAGTGTTTCTAATATCTGTTTGATGAGGCCTCTGTTTGGATGGCACATTTAAATAATTTCCTTACGGAACTGTCATTCTTATACTGTAAAAGTTCTATGTTCAATTGAAAAACTTAAATTTACTGTTGTTTCAGAACTGTGGACTACTGCAGCAGTTTTTGGACCCAATGACCGGGGAATGTCTGCCTAGTAAAGTCACTGGCCTGTGTCAGAAACAACACAAAAGCCTGTTGTTTGAAGTTGCCAAGGCCCAGGATTACGGTAAAATGAACCACATGTACATAAGCCTTACACCATGCTTCAGATATTAAATTACAACAACTATATCTGCCTTCTGGTGCTCTTTAGAACAACTGTTGTAGCCTTCATTTATTATGTTCTAAAACTATACTGACTTTATAATACCATTTGTCGCCTTTGCTAATCCTTTCACTTTTAAAAAAAATTCAAATGAAATTTTGTTTTTGAAATTTTGTTTTTCATTTACAGTTACGTTCCATTGCCTACAATGATTTTCTGGGTTAGGATATAAGAACAACCATTCTGTAACCCTACAACTCAAGTTGTTGTCTGTCAGAGTCTGTACACTACAACTCAAGTTGTCGTCTGTCAGAGTCTGTACACCACAACTCAAGTTGTCGTCTGTCAGAGTCTGTACACTACAACTCAAGTTGTCGTCTGTCAGAGTCTGTACACTACAACTCAAGTTGTCGTCTGTCAGAGTCTGTACACTACAACTCAAGTTGTCGTCTGTCAGTCTGTACACTACAACTCAAGTTGTTGTCTGTCAGAGTCTGTACACTACAACTCAAGTTGTCGTCTGTCAGAGTCTGTACACTACAACTCAAGTTGTCGTCTGTCAGAGTCTGTCTGGTCTTGGATTTTAGAATTCTTGGTTTCTGCTGTACTGGTAGTTATTTCTTAGATGGTATTTATAAACAAACCAAATCAAGAATAAAAAAAAATACCTGGTTTATGTATACACATATTAAATCAATGTATAGAAACACACATGTTGTATACATATATTAAATTCATGAATACACAATTTATAATAAATCCATGAATAGGTACACACATTAGTATATCCTTGCTTATTTATATTCCTACGCTCATCTTTTTTTTATGTCTCTTTTTTTTTTTACAGGATATATAGAAAAGTATTTCCCTCTGCGAAAATACAACTATTCTGAGTATTACAAGCTAGCAGGTATGACAAAAGAGATGTTGAATGCGGAGACAGAGGAGATGACGGCAGGTGATTGAAAGATGTGAGAATGCAGCAGACGAATCAGCTTGGTCATTGTGTGTACAGTGTAGATACCAGTCATTAAATAATCTTGTACTTATCTGTCTCATATTTCTTTATACAAACTACAAGCACTGACCAGTCACACATAAGCTACTGGTTTTGACTCAACACTTACCTACTGACAAGTCAACATACACCCACTGACCAGTCAACATGTACGCACTGATCAGTCAACAAACATCCACTTACCAGTCAACAAACACCCACTGACCAGTCAACATACCCACTGACCAGTCAACAAACACCCACCGACCAGTCAACAAACACCCACTGACCATTCAACATACACACTGACCAGTCAACAAACACCCACTGATCAGTCAACATATATCCACTTACCAGTCAACATACATCCACTGACCAGTCAACATACACCCACTGACCAGTCAACAAACACCCACTGACCAGTCAACATACACCCACTAACCAGTCAACATATATCCACTGACCAGTCAACAAACACCCACTGACCAGTCAACATACACACACTGACCAGTCAACATACACCCACTGATCAGTCAACATATATCCACTTACCAGTCAACAAACACCCACTGACCAGTCAACATACACCCACTGACCAGTCAACATACACCCACTGATCAGTCAACATATATCCACTGACCAGTCAACATACACACACTGACCAGTCAACAAACACCCACTGATCAGTCAACATATATCCACTTACCAGTCAACAAACACCCACTGACCAGTCAACAAACACCCACCGACCAGTCAACAAACACCCACTGATCAGTCAACATATATCCACTTACCAGTCAACAAACACCCACTGACCAGTCAACAAACACCCACTGACCAGTCAACAAACACCCACTGATCAGTCAACATATATCCACTTACCAGTCAACAAACACCCACTGACCAGTCAACAAACACCCACTGACCAGTCAACATACACACACTGACCAGTCAACAAACACCCACTGACCAGTCAACATACACCCACTGACCAGCCAACATACACCCACTGATCAGTCAACATATATCCACTTACCAATCAACATACACCCACTGACCAGTCATCAAACACTGACTGACCAGTCAACATACACACTGACCAGTCAACATACACCCACTGACCAGCCAACATACACCCACTGATCAGTCAACATATATCCACTTACCAATCAACATACACACACTGACCAGTCAACAAACACCGACTGACCAGTCAACACACACACTGACCAGTCAACAAACACCCACTGATCAGTCAACATATATCCACTTACCAGTCAACAAACACCCACTGACCAGTCAACAAACACACACTGACCAGTCAACAAACACCCACTGATCAGTCAACATATATCCACTTACCAGTCAACAAACACCCACTGACCAGTCAACAAACACCCACTGACCAGTCAACATACACACACTGACCAGTCAACAAACACCCACTGACCAGTCAACATACACCCACTGACCAGCCAACATACACCCACTGATCAGTCAACATATATCCACTTACCAATCAACATACACCCACTGACCAGTCATCAAACACTGACTGACCAGTCAACATACACACTGACCAGTCAACATACACCCACTGACCAGCCAACATACACCCACTGATCAGTCAACATATATCCACTTACCAATCAACATACACACACTGACCAGTCAACAAACACCGACTGACCAGTCAACATACACACTGACCAGTCAACAAACACCCACTTACCAATCAACATACACTCACTGACCAGTCAACATCCACACTGACCAGTCACCAAACACCCACTGATCAGTCAACATACACCCACTGATCAGTCAACATACACCCACTGACCAGTCAACAAACACCCACTGACCAGCCAACAAACACCCATTGACCAGTCAACAAACACCCACTGACAAGTCAACAAACACCCACTGACCAGGCAACATACACCCACTGACCAGCCAACATACACCCACTGATCAGTCAACATATATCCACTTACCAATCAACATACACACACTGACCAGTCAACAAACACCCACTGATCAGTCAACATATATCCACAGACCAGTCAACAAACACACACTGACCAGTCAACATACACCCACTGACCAGTCAACAAACACCCACTGACAAGTCAACAAACACACACTGACCAGTCAACATACACCCACTGACCAGTCAACATACACCCACTGACCAGTCAACAAACACCCACTGGCCAGTCAACATAATTTTTTGCTGATAGAGAGTCAACATACACCCACTGACCAGTCAACATACATCCACTTACAAGTCAACAAACACCCACTGACCAGTCAACAAATACCCACTGACCAGCCAAAATACACCCACTGACCAGTCAACATACATCCACTTACCAGTCAACAAACACCCACTGACCAGTCATCAAACACCCACTGAGCAGTCAACATACACCCACTGACCAGTCAACATACACCCACTGATCAGTCAACATATATCCACTTACCAGTCAACAAACACCCACTGACCAGTCACCAAACACCCACTGAGCAGTCAACATACACCCACTGACCAGTCAACATACATCCACTTACCAGTCAACAAACACCCACTGACCAGTCACCAAACACCCACTGACCAGTCAACAAACACCCTCTGACCAGCCAACAAACACCCACTGACCAGGCAACAAACACCCACTGACCAGCCAACAAACCCCCACTGACCAGTCAACAAACACCCACTGGCCAGTCAACATAATTTTTTGCTGATAGAGCCACACACACTGACCAGTCAACATATATCCACTTACCAGTCAACAAACACCCACTGACCAGTCAACATACCCCCACTGACCAGTCAACAAACACCCACTGAGCAGTCAACATACCCCCACTGACCAGTCAACAAACACCCACTGGCCAGTCAACAAACACCCACTGACCAGCCAACAAACCCCCACTGACCAGCCAACAAACACCCCCTGACCAGTCAACAAATACCCACTGACCAGCCAAAATACACCCACTGACCAGTCAACATACATCCACATATATCCACTTACCAGTCAACAAACACCCACTGACCAGTCACCAAACACCCACTGACCAGTCAACAAACACCCACTGACAAGCCAACAAACACCCACTGACCAGGCAACATACCCCCACTGACCAGCCAACATACACCCACTGATCAGTCAACATATATCCACTTACCAGTCAACAAACACCCACTGACCAGTCAACATACATCCACTTACCAGTCAACAAACACCCACTGACCAGTCAACATAATTTTTTGCTGATAGAGCCACCTTAAAAGTTGTAAAAGTACAGAGGTTGTGTTAAAAACTTGCTGCCTGTTTTTGAAGCATAAACAGTTTGTTAAAATATTCCATATTAGATTGAGTACACCATATCCCAGAACAATATAAAAAGTGTGGTAAAACAATGCTATTGTACACTTTTTTGTGGTACAGATGGACATAAATGGTCTTACATGTTTAAAAACACCAACAATCTTGGATATTTTTGGGTGATGGTCATGGGCTTATCAAATCGCCCTGCATCCGTGATTCGTCCCTCATTCCGTCCTTAAACAATTCTTGTTAGCGCAATTTCTCAGAAAGAAATGGAGGGATCTTCCTCAAATTTCACATGAAGGTTCCCAATGGTCACTAGTTATGCATATCGTTTTGTCACTTGGGCCCACTTGTATAAAACATCTCAACTCTTGAGATTTCCCATAGACAATACATTGCTTGAGATTTTCCTTAACTTTGAGATGTTTTCTACAAGTGGGCCCTGAGCTTAGTTTATAGAGGGAAACAACACTTTCGGGTATATCTTGACAATTTTCAGTAGAATACTATTCTTACTTGGTGAGAATTATCCTTGGAGGAAAATGGTTTTAAATTGTAAAATTGGGATTCCTACCCCAACTCTAGAGGCCAGGGTGGGGCCCCAAAGGGAAAATTAACCAATATTTCAAATATCTTCTCCAGACTCCAGACAGAGGTACTACAGTCATTTTCTCTGCATGGATGGAAAGATCATCAGGGGCTTCATTTAAATTGTAAAGGGCCGGTTTCCAAAACGGCGCCTTCTCTGATTCAAATTTCCTGTTGGTGGTGCATTGCCCATGCCGTTGTGGTCACAAATCTATAAAGTATAAAGATTTAGGTCACTTGGTTTGTTTTTTATGGCTCCTCAAAGTTGTACCTTTCAGAAGCTGTCTAAGTGTTGATAAAATGTGCATGTTATGTAAAATATTAATGAAAATCTAATCAAATGATGGTCACCGTAAAGAATACATTCATGGCATGATTGTGACAAAAAATCATGTTTCCATCGCGCCATTTGGCTGTTTTATGGAAGAAACAATCTCAAAAATGCCATTTTCGATGATAACATTTTAGACACAAAAACTGTGTTTTTTAGAGAATACACCCTTTTATGGGCGTTGGATGCAAACCAATTTTTATCCTATTAAACAGTACGTAATATGCTATTGATGAGAGGAAAAATCATCAAAATGTAAGTGGTGGAACATTTTCAAATGTTGGGTTGAATTAGCCTATGGTTGAATTGCCGATTTTCGACTTTCTTTAGATAATTAACAAAAAAACGAGAGTATTTGCTCGGTATGTTGAGAATATGTACACAGATATGAAAAAAAGTGAGAGAAACACTTTTTCATAAAAAAAATCCAAGATGGCTACTTCACAAGTCCCCGTGGTTGAAGACATTGGCTGACAAATAGACAGAACAACAAACAAAACGTGTTCCTTATGATTTTGGTTGGTTTTCGCATTTACGGGAGTGTTCATAGCTACGGGCGATTGTATAATACCTATATTTATAAGTTTGGTTAGTCACATGGTAACGGGGATCTTTCATATCGAGCCCCAAACATACTTTCGACATATGCACTCCGTTGCCGCATGGAAAACTATTTCAAGTTTTGTCGGAATTTCTTTACCTGTGGTTGTAATGGTCGAGGGTTTTCCAGCGTCCTGTAATACCCAAGGTAGTACAAGATACTGGAGATGTGCGCACACATTCCCATCGTTC